GTACCACAATCCCACATTTCAACATATACTACAAAGCTGCAGTAATCAAAACAGTATGGTACTGGCTCAAAATAGATGCCTAGATCAATGGAACAGAATAGAGAGCCTAGAAATAAACCCACACTTATATACTGAATTAATCTACAACAAAGGAGGCAAAAATATACAATGGGAAAAAGACAAGTCTCTTCAACAAATGGTGCTGGGAAAATGGATAGCTACATGCAAAAGAATGAAACTGGACCCTTTCTTACACCATGAACAAAATAAACTCAAAATGGATTAAAGACCTAAATGTTAGACCTGAAACCATAAAACTTTTTTTAAAGGTAAACAAAGGCAGTAATCTCTCTGGTATCAGCCTTTTAGCAACATTTTTTCTAGATGTCTCCTTCAGCAAGGGAAACAAAAGCAAAAATAAAACTACTGAGACTACACCAAAAAGCTTTTGCACAGCAAAGGAAACCATCAATAAAATGAAGAGGCAACATACTGAATGGGAGAAGATATTTGCAAACAATATATCCAATAAGGGGTTAATATCCAAAGTATATAAAGAACTTCTACAACTCAACACCAAAAAAACCAAATAATCTGATTAAGAAAATGGACAGAGAACCCAAAAAGACCTTCAGATTGCCAACAGACACATGAAAAGATGCTCAACATCACTGATCATTAGGGCAAATCAAAACCACAATGAGATATCACATTATACCTGTCAGAATGGCTAGAATCAAAAAGACAAGAAACAAGTGTTGGTGAGTATGTGGAGAAAAAAAAAAAAAACACTCATGCAATGTTGGTAAGAATGCAAGCTGGTGCAGCCACTGTGGAAAACAGTATGGAGGCTCCTCAAAACATTAAAAATAGAAATGCATACAATCCGATAATTCCACTACTATTTACCCAAAGAAAACAAAAACACTAATTCAAAAAGAAATATACACCCCTACATTTACTGCATTTACAATAGCCAAGATATGAAAGCAACCTAAATAAATGTCCATCAATAAAGATGTGAGATACACACATAAACATACATACACACACACACACACACAAATATTACTCAGCCATAAAAAAAGAATGAGATCTTGCCATCTGTGACAACTAGAGAGTATTACACTAAGTGAAGTCAGACAGCAAAAGACAAATACTGTGTAATTTCACTTATAAGTGGAATTTAAAGATTTTATTTATTTATTTGAGACAGAGAGAATGAGAGGGAAGAGGGTCAGAGGGAGAAGCAGACTCCCTGCCGAGCAGGGAGCCCGATGCGGGACTCGATCCCGAGACTCCAGGATCATGACCTGAGCCGAAGGCAGTCGCTTAATCAACTGAGCCACCCAGGCGCCCCTATAAGTGGAATTTAAAAAACAAAATGAATGAACAAACAAAACAGAAACTGACCTATAAATACAGAAAACTAACTGGTGGTTGCCAGAGGGAAGGGGGCTGGGGGCATGGGCAAATAGGGGTGAGGGGAGTGACAGGTATAGGCTTCCAGTTATGAAATGAATCAAGCATGGGGATGAAAGGTATAGCACATAAGGAATACAGTCTGTGATACTGTAATAGTGTTGTATACTTATGGATGATAGCTACACTTGTGAGCATAGCATAACACAGAGTTGTTGAATCATGATGCTGTACACCTGAAACTCATGTACCATTCAGTATCAACTGTACTTCAATAAACAAAATAAATACATAAGAAGAAAAATTTTGTAAAATGTGGATGTAGGCTCCTGTGAAGGGACTGTTGGTAGTAATACGGGCGTTAAAAGCAACTCCAACAAGGTCTCAGGGAGAAAAGATAAGAGTTATAGTGAAAGCTTCTATAATCTTAGAGAATATATATGTCATAAATAGAATGTTGGTAAAATATGAACACGAAAGACCATTCTGGTAAGGATTCAGACAGAAATAAGGAACAGATTGTTGGAAATCGGAGAAAGAGGCAATCCTTGTTATAAAATGGCAAAGAACTTGGCTAAATTGTGTTTTAGTGTTTTGTGAAAGATAGAACTTACGAAAAATGAAACAATATTTAGCTGAGGAGATTTCTAAGTAAAATGTTGGAAGGTGCAACCTGGGTCCTCTATAGTAAAATCCAAGAGGAGAGACATGAACTGAATTGTTAAGCAAAAACGAACCGAGACTTAAAAGATTTGGAAAATACTCAACTTGTCTATATTGCAAAAAATGAGAATGCATGTTCTAAAGAGAACACCAAAAGTGTGGCTGGACTATCACTCAATAAAGAGATGATGGGATTACACAAGCAAAAACACTGCTAGTTTGAAATGAAAGAGACAAAATGAAGGAAGGCTGGTAGAATCAACTGCAAACATGCACTATTCTCCAAGAAAAGGACATGAAGGTGATTCAGAGATCATCAGGGCTGTCTTATTTCTTGTTTCAACAATCAGCCTGCATCCAGAAGCCTTAGGAGTGGGACCACCCTCCCGAGCTGTGGGGGTGGGACCACTGCTCTAGTGGATCCAGAAGGCAGGGCATCCAGCTAAAGAAAATTTTCTCGAGGTTTAAGATCAAAGAGAATTTGCCTTGCTAGGTTTTGGACTTCTTTGGGACCCATCATCCCTTTCTTCCTTGTGATTTCTCCCTTTTGAAATGAAAATGTCTATTCTATGCCTGTCCCACCACTGTATTTTAGAAACACATACTTGTCCAGTTTTACAGGTTCACAGATGAAGAGAAATTTTGCCTTAGGATGAATCATACCTTGAGTCTCACCCATATCTGATTTAAACGATATTGAGATAAGACTTTGGACTTTAGAGTTGATGTTGCAATGAGTTCAGATTTTGGGGGGTTGTTAAGATTGAATGAACATATTTTGCATATGAGAAGGACATGAATTTGGGGGGCCATTGGCAAAATGTTTGGACTGAATGCTTGTATCCCTCCAAATTCATTTGCTGAGCCCCTTCACCCCCATTGTGGCAGTATCTGGAGATGGAGTCTCTAGGAAGTAATTAAGGTTAAATGAGGTCATAAGGATGGGACTCTGATCTGATAAGCTTAATATCCTTAGAAGAGATACCAGAGAGCTCACTCACACACATGTGTATACACACTCACTAGCTCTCTCTCTCTCCCCATGTGCTCGCACCAGGAAAAGGTTATGTGAGGATCCAGCAAGAAGGTAGCCATATATGATCCAGAAAGAGCTCTTGCCAGGAACTGAATTGGCTGGAATCTTAATCATAGACTTTTAGTCTCTAGAACTGTAAGAAAATAAATTTCTATTGTTTAAACCATCCAGTGTATGGTATTTTGTTACAGGAGCCTGAACTAATATTTGAGCCACAGACTCAAGGGAAAAGGAATTTAACTGAGACCAATCTTAATATGTTAGTATTAGCAGACAAAAGTTTAAAGTAGCTATTATAACTACATTCAAGAACATAAAGAAGAGAAATAAAAAGTATGAAAAGGAAACAAGTGGAAATTCTAGAACTGAAAAAAATACAATATTCACAATAAAGTATTCACTAAATAGGCGTAACAGCAAACTGTAGAGGAAGAAATATCAGTGAACCTGAAGACAGTAATAGAGTAATTATACAATCCGAAGAGGAAAAAAAGGATAAAAATGAACAAGCCTCAATGAGCTACAAAATTCTAATATGTGTATAGCTGGAATCCCAGAAGAGGAGAAAGAGAATGAGGCAGAAATATATTTGAAGAAAAAATGGCAAAGAGTTCCCAAATTTGGTGAGATTTATAAATTTATAGATTCAAGAAGCTCAGAAACCATAAACAGGATACACACAAGAAAACCACACCCAGGCATACCACAGTCAAAGCTAATAACCAAAGATAAAATCCTAAAGTCAGCATAAGAAAAATAATACATAATGTACAAAAGAAAACAATACAAATGACTGCTAACATCTCTCCAGAAAAAAGAGACCAAAACACAATGGAACATCTTCAAAGTGCTGAAACAAAATTGTCAATCCAAAATTCTATAACCAGCAAAAATATCCTCCAAGAATGAAGACAAAATATATTATTAAATAAACAAAAACTTACAGAATTTGTTACCAAAAGACCTATACTACAAGAAATGATAAAGAATGGGGCGCCTGGGTGGCTCAGTCATTAAGCATCTGCCTTCAGCTCAGGTCATGATCCCAGGATCCTGGGTTCAAGCCCTATATCGGGCTCCCTGCTCTGTGGGAAGCCTGCTTCTCCCTCTCCCACTTCCCCTGCTTGCGTTCCCTCTCTCACTGTGTCTCTCTGTCAAATAAATAAATAAAATCTTTTAAAAAAATGATAAAGAAAACTCTTCAGGTTTAAAAACAGTGATATGACATAGAAATTGAGAAATTCTTATCTTCACTAAGAAATGAAAAGCACCAGAAATGGCAAATATGTAGGTAAACATAAAAGACCAATTTTTTCCTTTTCTTTAAAATATGTGTCTGTTTAGAGCAAAAATTATTACAATGAATGTGGAGTATTAACAAATGTAGATATAATACATATGACAAGTAAAACATAAAAGATGAAGTGGTGATAAACAGACCTGTAGAGTTGCAAAATTCTTACATTTTACACAAAGTGGAATAATATTAACTCACACACTATCCTATTGTAGCCATTGCCTGCTTTCTACAGTGACATTGTATCTTAAATTCTGAGGCCCAAGGAAGACAGAGAAAAGAATAAAGCTTTCCTCCAAAGCCTTCCTTCACCGGAAGCCCAACACCTTTCACCTGGGGCTCAGGTCTCTAAGAGCAAACTTTGGTCACAAAATGCAAAGTTTTAACAACTAAAAAGGGTTCCATCTCTACTTCAGAAAAACAAGCAACGAATGCAGTCAGCTACATTAATTAGAAATACACTTATCTTCTTCCTCTGCAAAATGAGTTGGAATCTGTATTTACCTCAGGCTCCCAAGATATCAAGTCTAGGAACTGAATTTAACTTTTTATACAATTCAGTATTGCATCTAGAAAACTGACCTTGATTTCCTTTATTCCTTTCTTTGCTTTTAAGGTTTCTTCAGCGGACTTTGTTTTCTCATTCTTCTTTACTGCTTCACTTACAGGTTTCTTTCCACTTGGTATAACCCCAAAGAATTTCCGAATATCCTAAAAGCAAAAAAACGACATGTGTAAACAAACATTAACTGCACAAAATTTGAATTTCAACTACAAAAAGGGACAGCTCTACACACACACTGGTTTATCTTCAATAATTTCTTCATAATCAGATAGTTCCATGTGTGCAACAGCATTCATTTCACATGCAAAAGTTAACTGATAAAATTACCTAAGTTAAAAATAATTTGCCTAGGGTGCCTGGGTGGCTCAGTTGGTTAAGCGACTGCCTTCGGCTCAGGTCATGATCCTGGAGTCCCTGGATCGAGTCCCGCATCAGGCTCCCTGCTCGGTGGGGAGTCTGCTTCTCCCTCTGACCCTCCCCGCTCTCATGTGCTCTCTCTCTCATTCTCTCTCTCTCAAATAAATAAATAAAAAATCTTAAAAAAAAATAATAATAATAATAATTTGCCTAATGAAAAATAATATTAATTCTCAGGATTTGGCCAAAAACAGGACAGAAATAAGCAAGTGAAATTTTTCTTAACAACAGCACAATTACTAAAGAGGCAAGTAACAAGTATTTATTGTTCATACATGCATATGCTCATCCCACCACTTCAGGCAGAGTGAGGGAGAAGACAAATGTTGAAGAGTATAATCCTTGACCATGGGATTTATACTCCAATTTGAGAGAAAGATAACTCTCACAACCCTGATCATTTAAGACCTTAATAACTAAAAACCTTAGAAATTACTTTATATGATTTTTCCAAATTCTGAAAAAATATTTTGATGCTTATTACAATAATCTCTTTAATTGCTCTATCCCCTTGTTATGCTGAATTAAAATTTAATCATAATGAAACATTTACAATGTAATTTACAATTTAAATCACTCACTTTTATCTTTTGCATACATATTCTTCCCTACTTTTAATTTTAGCTTTAAAGAAAGTATGGTGTAGAGAATGGGAATAGACCTTAGAATCAGAAAGCCTCAGTCTGAATCTCTGCTGTAGTTATTTTTATGTGTGACCTTGGGCAGGTTACTTTAATCTGTTTTCCCATCAGTAAAGTGGAACTAATACTACCTATGCTTTATGAGAATTACTTAATTTTGGCTCAGTAAAAAGCTTCCCTTCCCCTCATTTATGAATTATTATCCCTTCACATCACTGACACATGTCTATTTTCAATTACCTCTGCTCCCAGGCAAGGATATAAGGAACACAGAATAATGAAACCTGAATAAGGATCTGAATTCCTAAGAAGGGTTCAAGAGCCAGGTGTTCTGCTCTTCCTATCCTTAATGGTTATAATCTTGAGTTTTCAATCCTTTTTACCTGTTCCAACCTATCTCTTTATTATAGTGAGGAAAATGCCTGTTAAAAACACTTCGTGAAGTATAAGAAAGTTAACAATTATTTCCTAGATCCTGGCAGTAAAAGTCATACTCTTAAAATGTCAAAAATCCCAAATAAGCGTGTTATCCACACGCATGCGGGCGCGTGCGCACACACACACACACAAATAGCTTTGTGTCTAAGCAAATAAACAAAGCAGATAAATGAGGTACACAGACACCTTGTTTTTTTTTAATAAGATTATAGACTTTCCTGGTTTTATGTTCTCTTTTGTAAATTTCTTAATATACAAAAGTCATAAACCCATCCTAATAAAATCTAAGTCTAAAAAATACTGTTTACGAAACAGATACCTCGGCTATGAAACTAAGACATCTGTGTCAGGTGCTAAAGAAAGACGGGCAATAAAGTAAGCCACAGTCGTCCGTAAAATTTGCAAAAAATTGGGTTTGAGGTTTACAACCACTTACTTTATTGCTTCTGGAGGAAATGAAGGTTTCACATCGGAGTTTCACTTTTAAAATTACCAAATGATTCTTCATTCAAATAGTGATGGCTGTTTGCACATGCACACTGCACAGCATGGCATGGCACATGCACCATGGAAATACCAAAACTGAGTATTAATAATCAGGTTAAAGTCAGTGCTGGTTTTCAATCTGTATTAGGACAACAAATGCTTAAAACCACACAGAGAAAGAAAACAAAACATAATTCAGGAAATGGAATTGTTGGTTATATTGAGGCTCTCTGATTTTTGTCTGTTCCATACTGCCACTCCTCAGCATTGTTACCTTTCCTTCTCAAATAATCCCTTCTATTCACATCCCCTTTCTCTTCCTTTATTTTTTTTTAAAGATTTATTTATTTGAGAGAGAGATTCAGAGGTGGGGGATGGGGTGCAGACACCACGCTGAGCACAGAGCCCCATGTAGTGCTCAATCTCACAACCCTGAGATCACGACCTGAGCCAAACCAAGAGTCAGACGCTTAACCGCTTAACTGACTGCACCACCCAGGCACCCCTCCTTCCCTTTATGCTACCCTACTCTCTCACTTCCCACACCCTTATACTCTGATGGCAGCAGAACAGTTAAAAGAAATTACAGCATGATCTAACTCAATATACACTGAAAATTGAAACCTTTGGAAAAGAACTTTCATCAGAATGAAAGCCAATCTATTCTAGCTTTTTAGAATTATCTCTAATGTGAGCAGCCATCATGTATATAAATATCTGAAGGTTACTAATTTGGCCTCAATTTAGAGAGTGACTTCACCTTACTCCTTAACATTCCCTGTCTATTATTCCCAGTTTTCAAAGATTTCATGAAATGATGAACAGGCCTAGTAGCTAATCATACTCCCAAACAATGGATCTAAAAACCACTTTTCCCTGCACAGAAAAATTCTTGCTGAGTATACGAGTGGGAAAAGTAACAGATTTTTAAACTTACTTTTATAATCTTGGCAAAGGGAAAGCCTAAGCAGAGCATTAAGGCTAGAAACCATCCATAAAGAAAGATTTGACTACATAAAAGATGCCATAAGCAAAAGTTAAAACACAAACAACTAACTTGAAAATATCTACAACATATGTTATATATAAAAGGGTTCCTACAAATCAATAAAAGATAGCTAAGTAGAAAAATGAAAAACTACTAAAGCAAATTATTTTTTTAAAAAGATTTTATTTATTTACTTGACAGAGAGAGACACAGCGAGAGAGGGAACACAAGCAGAGGGAGCGGGAGAGGGAGAAGCAGGCTTCCTGTGGAGCAGGGAGCCCAATGCGGGGCTCGATCCCAGGACCCCGGGATCACAACCTGAGCCGAAGGCAGACACTTAATGACTGAGCCACCCAGGAGCCCCAAATTATTTTATTTTTTAAAAGATTTTATTTATTTGAGAGAGAGAGCACACAAGCAGGGGTAGCAGCAGACAAAGAGGGAGAAGCAGGCACCCCGCTGATCAGGGAGCCCAATGCAGATGCAGAACTCGATCCCAGGACCCCGAGATCATGATCTGAGCCAAAGACAGACACTTAACCAACTGAGCCACCTAGGTGCCCAAGCAAATTATTTTAAAAATGCAAATAACCAACAAACAATAAGAGATGTTCAAAACTTCACAAATAATAAACAGATAACCTGGGCGCCTGGGTGGCTCAGTCGGTTAAGTGGCTGCTTTCAGCTCAGATCATGATCCCGGGGTCCTGGGATCGAGCCCCACATCAGGCTCTCTACTCGGCAGCAAGTCTGCTTCTCCCTCTGTGATCTCTCTCGCTTTTGCTCTCTTTCAAATAAATAAATAAATAAAATCTTTAAAAATAAACAGATAAGCTGAAACTGGATTATTTTTCTCCAAATGTTAAAAGACTGATAATGCCCAGATTTGTCAAAGATATGGGGAAATAGATGCTCACACACTACACTGCCATAAAAGCAAAAACTGCATACTGGAAGACAAAAACTGTTCTGAAGGACAATCAGCAATACTTATCAAAATTTTAAATGTGCATACCCATTGTCCAGGCATTCCATCTCTAAAAGAAATGATAAAAGAAAATAACATTATTTCTATTTGGGGAAACCAAAAAAAAGTAGTAATTAATTCTTCTTATTTTCTTCTTCAACAGTCTTTAGTTGAACAAAAAGATAAGTTCAAATAAGGCAAAAATTTAGGCAAAAATCACATCAAAGTTAAAACAAATTTTAGCACATAGCTAATAATAACAACAAGTTTTTCATGCTTTTACTTACAGCTACTGGATACAGATTTATCTCTTTTGATGACTCTATGAGGTATGCAAGGCAAATAGAATATCTCCATTTTACAGATGAGTAAGTAGAAGTAAGTCAAACAGGCTTTTCGTCAGTTTTGCCATTTACTACTGGTCACTTTGGATGAAGTACTTCTCTGCCCCTCAGATTCCTCATGATATCCCTTGCCTCATAAAATTCCTGAGGATTAAGGTGGTACACCAAAAACCTCCACAATGGAACCTGGTCCTCTGACTCCAAATCTCTTTCACAGTTTTCCACTTGACCATGACTGTCCCTTCATAGTTTCCCCGTAACTGTAAGATCTGTGCAATAGTAGCCCTACCCCACAATTAGCAGTATGGCCTTGCCCTTCTCATTCCTGATACATTTGTATGCTTACAGGCAGGCACTGTGCCAGGGACTTAGAACACAAACAGGAAAATACCCTCACAAAGCTACCTGAGAGACAAATTAGTATATAAAGAATTCGATACAAAACAGTGCTAAGAAAAAGCTGATCACTAAACTAAAAGAGCACCAGGAGCACCTAACACAGACAGCCCTCCGGGGCAGCTGCCTAAAAGAAGCAACACCTGAACTGAGTCCTAAAATGATTAGTAAGAGATATTTTTTAAGTAACCTCTACCTCCAACACGGGGCTCCAGCTCGTGACCCCAAGACCGAGTTGCAAGTTCCACCAGTATGAGATACTTTGAAAATAAATCTGAGCTTGAAGGCACTTCTGATAAGTTCCATATAGCAGGCTTATTTATCTCACCACTCTATGTCAAGTACAGGGCCAACACCAGAGATAAGTAGATGCTTAATTAATATTGGCTGAAGGCATGGGGCACCTGGCTGGCTCAGTCAGTGAAGCATGCAGCTCGCTCTTGGGGTTGTAAGTTTGAGCCCCATGTTGCGTGTAGAGATTACTTAAAAATAAAATCTTAAAAAAAAAATCAGTTGAACACATAAATAGTTATTTCTAAGGTCACTGATACTCACACCTGGGCTCCAAAAAAGAGGTTCTTGATTATATAAAATGAAACTCATGGTAGATTTATTTTTAAAGATTGAGTATTAAAATAATCTTTAATTGAAATTAATTTGTTGCTATGACTTTACACTTTACCTACTGCTTTTGGCTTTAAGAAATTTTAAGTGGAGGGGCGCCTGGGTGGCTCAGTTAGTTGGGCCTCTGCCTTCAGCTCAGCTCATGATCCCAGGATACTGGGATCGAGTCCTGCATCGGGCTCCCTGCTCAGCCAGGAGTCTGCTTCTCCCTCTGCCTCTGCAGCTGCCCCCTGCTCATGCACACACGCTCTCTCTCTCAAAAAATAAATAAATCTTAAAAAAAAAAAAGAAATTTTAAGTGGATATTAAAGTAACACTTATTGTATATTATTTCTGAAGTAAATTATTAAAGTTGACCTTCCAGGGGCACCTGGCTGGCTCAGTCGGTGAAGCATGGGACTCTTGATCTCGGGGTTGCGAGTGCAAGCCCCACGCTGGGTGTAGAGATTACTTAAAAAATAAAATCTTTAGGGGCGCCTGGGTGGCTCAGTCGTTAAGCGTCTGCCTTTGGCTCAGGTCATGGTCCCAGGGTCCTGGGATCGAGCCCTACATCGGGCTCCCTGCTCCGCGGAAACCTGCTTCTCCCTCTCCCATTCCCCCTGCTTGTGTTCCTTCTCTCACTGTGTCTCTCTCTGTCAAATAAATAAAATCTTTAATAAAAAAATAAAATATTAAAAAAAAATAAAATAAAGTTGACTTCTATAATTGACCCTTATAATATGGTACTCTCTTGTCATATAATACTGTGGTACTAAAAAAAAAAAAAGTGCTTTCACTTTTGGTGCAATATTTTCTCTTCTTCCAATTTGCTTTTAGCCAAACAAGTTACCTTTTAGAAATCACATATATCTCTATATATAATTGATGTTAATGATACAGCCAAGTCTAGCACAGGACTCAAGAAATTTTCTGAGTAAGATACCAGTGAGTGAAAGTGTGGTCTGAAAAAGTTTTAAATAATAGCGTTCTAATCAGGAAGAATTTTAAGAACCTGCATCAACTTCCTTTCTTCTTTTCTTCATTCATTCATTCATTCTTTCTTTCTTTCTTTCAACAAATATTGATTGAGAGCCTTCTATGAGCCAAGAACTACTCTTGGTGCTTGGAATAAATGAAACAGACAAAAGTGTCTGTTCTTGTGGAACTTTCATTCTACCTTCTGCTCTGGGTCTTTCTGTCTTTAGGGAAAAAGAAGTGTAACACAGGACACAGCAGACAAAATAAAGTACGGCAAGGGAATAGAAATGGAGAATATATGATTAGGGGAAATATCTGCCTCTCCCACTTGCTCTGGAATCAATTCAGTCTACCTGAGAAATTGCTCCCAAGACAGTAAAAAAACCCATTTCCATTCTTAGTTGTGTTGAGGAAGATGTGTAAAATCCTGAAGCCATAGTATGTGTATCATATGAACCTTAGACTACTCTTTCAATAAAATACTGTATCACAAAACATTTTCAAATATACCTGATCCAAAAATACTAACACTGGCAAAATTAAACAGAAAATGGAATTTAATAATTTAGGTTTTTAAAATAAATAAGTTCTCGGGGTGCCTGGGTGGCTCAGTTGGTTAAGCAACTGCCTTCGGCTCAGGTCATGATCCTGGAGTCCCGGGATCGAGTCCCGCATCGGGCTCCCTGCTCAGCGCGGAGTCTGCTTCTCCCTCTGACCCTCCCCCCTCTCATGTACTCTCTCTCATTCTCGCTCTCTCAAATAAATAAATAAATCTTT